CATGACTGGCCGCCCTTGCCACTCGAGGGCCCCTTCTCCCGAACCCGGCGGGAGAGGCGCCCGCAGCCGAAAACAGGGTCTCGTCCTGGGGGTTGGGGGTGCGGGCTGGGCCTTTGCTCCGCGGTGACTCCGCGTGACCCCCCCAGTCGGCTCCTTGCTCCGTCGCCTGCCGTCCAGGACCCTCCAACTGCGGCTCTGGCAGCAGCGCTTGCCATCGCGACCCCCTCCCGTGCCCGGCCCGCAGCGGTCATTCGGTGGTGTCCTTTGGGCAGGACTTAAGGGGGAGATGGATGGGGAGTCTGGGGGCGGGGTGAGAACATCGGACCCAGGATTGGCCCCCGCCCAGGACCAGAGGGCGGCCCACCGGCCGGACCTCCCACTTGTGTGAAGGGCCCGTCCCTCTGGTGGCGAGAGGCGACATTGTCTGAGGGAGCTTGGTCCAGCTGGCCACTCAGGTCCTGGATGTTGACAGATGGTGGACAGGGCAAGGGGAGGAGCTGACTCCGGCTGGGTCCCAAGGGTTCCTGAGGAGAAAGGGTGTGGCAGAGGGCCAGGAGGTTGACGGTGTGGTCTGTGGCTGGTGAGAGGAAGGGGTCTTCACAGGATGCTCGGCTGGTGCAGGGGCAGGGGCTGCCCAGGGACAATGGCCCTGCCTCCCTGCCCAGGACCCTGCTGGGCCCACTACAGACATCTTTTGGGAGGACCAGAGCCTGGCACTCCTGACCCTGGAGACACACTGGCAGGGGGCCTCCCCTTGCTTGGGGGTGGGCTTCCATGCCGGGGGTGGGGATAAGCAGGGTTCCCCTGGGTCGGTTCACCCCAGTGATTCTCTGCATCTTCTCGTCCCCTCCTGTCACAACTTACTATCCTGGAACCACCAGCCGAGTCCCAGGGGCAGGCAGCACGGCTGTCCCTCGGCCACCAGGCGCGTCCCCCTCTGCCTCTCCCTCTGCCATGCTGGGGAAGAGGAGGGGCGCCTCCTGTGCCCCCCTCCCTGTGCCACGCCTCTTCGGAGGGCCCTGGCAGGTGTCTGTGGGCCGGATTCCGTGCTGTGGATGGGGCGGTCGGATCGCGGGGGACAAAGGCCCGGCTCTGCGTGGTTGCACCCACCGCAGCCTAGGACGCCCTCTGCTGGCAAAGCGATGTCCTCAACCGCCCTTCGCTTTCCCAGACCCAGTGTTCTCCATCCACCACTGAGGCCTGGCTGTGTGTGTGTCTGTGTTGTGTACGTCTGTGTCTGCATGTGTCTGCTGTGTGCGCGTGCGTGTCTCTGTGCATCTTTGTTGTGTGTGTGTGTGTCTGTGTGTGTGCATGTGTCTGTGTTGTGTGTGTCCATGCGTCTGTCGTGTGCATGTGTGTCATATGTGCACGTCTGTGCATGTGTCTGCATGTCTGTGTTGTGTGTGTCTGTCATGCATGTGTGTCTGTGTGCATGTGTCTATTGTGTGCATGTCTGTGTTGTATGTGCACGTGTGTCTGCATGTCAGTTGTGTGTGCATGCGTGTCTGTGTGTGCATATGTCTGTGTCGTATGTGCGTGTCTCCAGGCTCCAGCATCATGTGCCCATGCCATGTCCTTGGTGTTTGTGGGGCCTGCCGTGTGCCAGCGCAGGCTTTGCGTGTGCGATGATGGCCTGAGAGACCAAGGCCCCGCACTGCCTGTGTGAGTAGAGTGAACAGAGTGCGGAACGGGCTTGGGTGCTGGGTCCGGGGTCCCGGGGGCAAATGGCAGTGCCTGGCCAGGCCAGACTTGGTTGGGGGACCTACTGCTAGCTGGGTGTTGGGTTTCTCCTCCAGGCTCCCCCAACCCATCGCTGGGACTGGCCAGGGAGTGCCGCAGGTTCCTGTGTATCCTGCCTTGTGGTCAGCAGGCAGCTGAGGGGCAGAGACTCCCATGACCCGAGCAGCTGCTCTGTCCTGAGGCTGAGAGTATGAACAGCGGGGCCCCAGGCCGCACCGACCAGTGAGGGGAGGCCTCTCTCGGCCTGGACCTGGGCCGGACCTGCCCCCGAGGGGCAGATTTCCCGCCCTGCAGGCTAGTCCCCCATACTGACCCCTTCCATACTGAGCTCCCGCCTGCCCTAGCAGCTCAGCCACACACTCCAGACAATCTGAGTGACGGACCCCTCCCTCTAAACTCACCAAACCCCCAGAGGGAAAAGCTGATGAAGACGTACCACCTGCAAGAGGCTCCCTGCCCCCGCCCCGCCCCCGCGGGTGCCGAACAGGAGGCCAGAGCCTGGGCCACGTCTGGGAACCGTCTCGAGAAATCTGTTCTGCTTTGGTCCATTCGCCCTGCCCTGACACGCCACTGTCCCCTCTGGGTTGGGGCCCTGAGGGATGCTCGTCAGGACTGACGCCCACTGACACTCAGCAGGCAGCCTGGGGCTGTCCCACAGTCCCTGACAACCGGACAGGAGGTCTAGGAGGTCATGGTGCATGCAGCAGGCAGGCGTGGGTGGAGCTGGCAGGGTCTTGGCCACTGGGAGGAACCCCCAGGAGGCGGCTCCAGCAGCGTGGGGGGCTGCCCATGGGAAGCTGCTGTCACTTCTCTGCAAGTTCTGCTGCCCGCCCTGATCTGAGGAGGAATCCAGGCGTTCACCAAGGCCTCATGTTCACTCGGCCTCCCTGGGACCCCGCAGGGCTGGGGGCTGGGCTCCCCACCTTCACAAGCTCGTGGACAAGAGCTGTCTGCAGGGGCGGGATGGCGGCTGGAGTCTGGAGCCCAAGGTCTCTGGGAAGTGGGGTGTCTGCCAGTGGGTGGTGCAGCCAGCTCGGGACTCTGGCCAGCAGGAGCTGTTTCCATGGCGACAGCCCTAAGCCAGGGACACACCCGTCCTCACAGCCTCCTGCTGGGGAGCGGGGACAGTTTAGGAAAATGGAAACTCAAGTGCAACAGCTGCACGTCTGCTGCTTTTGTTGTGGGATAAAAAATTTTCTCCCAACATCCATTAACACAAACACAAATGCCAGTAGAGGTCGTGTGTTCTCCCGAAAGTGAGTGTGGTGAGGTCTGGGCACAGGGGGACCCTGCCCATTGGGCCCCAGCCCAGCAACAGAAGAGGGGTGGGGGGCGCTTCCGGCTGCCAGCCCCAGGCAAGGGGCTCCTGACCTCACTGCCATTCCTGGGCAGGAGTGGGATGGAAGCGGGTAACCCCCTTCACTGGTGTGTTCTCATTAAAACACCTGCCTCTAATTGCCCACGTTCCAGAAATGTGGGTGAACTCACCGTGATAAACAAATGATGGCGTCTCAGCCACAGGTAGAGGAGCTTTGTTGGAAGAAAAGGCTGTCCCCTCAGGGGTGGAGACAAGCACAGGGACAGCAGTGGGCGGCCAGCAGCTTGCCCGCACCCCTGACCACAGCGTCCACAGAGTGGAGGCCACGGCTCCCTGGCTCTAGAGCCACACTTGCCATGCACAGCGCTGCCAGGGGACAGGGTGAGCCAGGAGCTCCTCAGCGGTCCACGGGCCTGGAGCCCTGGCCAGCCCCTGCCAGGTCCTGCTCCTGGGCTGGCCCCTGCTGGATGCGGAAATGTTCTAGCCTGGCCTGGCGGCTCCCACAGGCGTCCGTCCACTCAGAGCACCCCCGGAGGACACCAGGGCTCCCTAGGTGGCCGCAGGGTTTGAGCGACTGGCTTCTAAGGTTTTCTGGACTGGGCAGCTGGCCTGCTCTTCTGGAGAGGCAGAGTTCTTATTTCAGCCCCGTGAAGGACCGGGCAGTCGTCGGTGGGGCAGGGGTGTGTGTAGGGGGCGGGCAACAGAGTGCCTGTGCTGGGGGTCCCACCCTGAGAGCTGCGGGGAGTGGCCTGTGCTGACCTCCTGCTCTCTCGCTGCTGGCAGGTGGGCGGGGCCTCTGTGTAGGAGAGGACTTGCCTGGGGCGTCTAAGGAGGCATCCGGTTACCTAGACTCGGACCCTCTGGCAGACAAGGCTGGAGGGGCTGCAAGGTCTGGGCTAGGTCCTAAGACCCCATCCGGTGCTGGGCGTCCAGCAGCGGTCGGAGGGTGGGGGCGGGGCTGCTGGGGCCGGTGGAGACCTGGGAACCCGCGGTTTTTTTCTCTTCCAGCCATTTCTTTTTATGTACAGTTTGTGTTCAATGCAAATCCATTCCATAGCATGAGAAGTGACTGTGAATCGAAGTATAAATACACAAACACAATATACACCGCACAAGCAATGTACGGCACTCAGGTAGGAAACAGAGGCCATGTCCCTTCACACGGCACCTGGGGACCTGCTAGGTATGCTAGTTTCCAAACGCGGGAGTAAAGGGCTTTGGTCTGTGGAGACTGCTCTGGCCATGAGATGCCGGGACGCCTCAGCATCCGTGTGCGACGCCGCCAGCAAAAACTTTAGAGAGTGTCTATTTGTCAAAAGCTTTCTGTGCATTGAGGCAGTTGTGGAAAGATTTACTTTCCGGAATCATGCCCACTTCAGACCGGACTCAGATTCTAAAATTATCGACAGATAACAGAAAGTGTCCCAAATGTGGCTATTCTGATTCATAGGGCTTTTAAAAAGCATATGTACGGAAGGAGTATAAAAGTTTTTTTCTGAATTTAATGCCCATTAGTTTCCAGACTTCCCAAATACTTGATTCACAGTTTTGGCTCCTTCACATATTTGCCTTTTCAATCTTAAGATTCGTCCATTTTACCTTCAATATAGATTGTTTTTTAAACTGTAAAGAGAAGTATTTGACACATGCAGAAGTAAAAAGCATTTTGAAATGAGCTGAGGTCAGTGTGCTTCTACTCTTGGGAGGTAGTTTAGCTGACTGACTCTGGGGCTCTTGCCGAACAGGAAAAGGTGGTAAGTATATGAGCAAACTTGACTCGTTATTCTCGGATTTGGGGTGAATTCCCTGGCACATGGCAACCACTGTGCGAAAAGTCCGATGCAGTGTCAAATCGGAAGCCTCATGAAAGACTTCAGTTTCCAGGAGAACAGTGGCAGCTTAAGGATGTGAAACTTTATCTGGAGGACGTCAGCAATACAGAGGCAACGCTGGGAACCCTTTCGATGTGCACGGAGAGAGCCCGCTGAATGGCCTCGGAGCGTCGATGAGCCCCGTGAAGCCGGAATCTCTGTTCCAGATCCCACCCTTTATCGCTAGATAAAATCTATTCATTTTCGAGGTAGAGTTCGGGGCGTAGCCATCCTTCTTAGGCCACTTTGAAGGAAATCATTTCTTAACTAATTCTGGATGTGTGTCTCATCTTGTATGTGAAACTCTGGCAGATTTAATACTGGTGTCACCATCTGGTCCGACCCTGCACAAACACAATATACACCGCACAAGCGATGTACCGCACTCAGGTAGGAAACAGAGGTCGTGCCCCTTCACACGGCACCTGGGGACCTGCTGGGTATGCTGGTTCTCAATGTGGGGTTCTCAAAATTTTGTGTCAGCAGATTCGATGAACGTGTGTTTTCTTCTTTGTCACTAGATGTCTAGATGCCATTTGGATTGGGTTTAGGAGATGGGGAAGTACAGACGTTTCATGGCCTGAGTCTCTTAACAGTAGAAATGCAGAAGGGATAACGAAGGAGATCACCAAGAGGCTAGCTGTTGTCTGAAGAGCACTGCCACTTGCCTGGGTGGTGGCATTAGGTGGACTTGGGACAGCCGAGGTATTGCGGGAGAGGCGACTTGAACAGGTTACAGCAGGCGTTCGGTTTCTATCGCTCTGCCATGTCTACCGACGGTGTGCGGCACGTCTCGCTGGATGCCGGGTGCCTGGAGAACCACTGGCGCTGAGCAGGTGCAGACAAGGTGGGCTGGGAGCCCTGCTTTGGTGGGCCCCTCTCAGGGGGCTCAGGCCCAGGAGAGCCAGGCTGGGGCTTGCCCGGTGGGGGAGGGCATAGGGTACACGTGGGCTGGGGCGCCGGTGCGAGAGACTGGAACCAGCAGGTTCTCTTGGAATCTCGCGAGAAAGAACGGGAATGAGCGGGGCCCCGTACTCCTGAGGGCCGTGCCATCCCGGGAGAGCCGGACCGAAGAGCGACGTGGGGCGGGGCAGAGAGCAGCGGCCTCGTGCCCATCACGCGAGGGGCTCCATGTCGAAGCAGACAGGCTTCTGCACAGATGCTGTCCATGGGAGGCACGAAGTCCGCTGAGCGGCTGGGTCGCTGCAGCGGGCCGTGGGCTGGAGTGGAAGGCCACAGCTCCGGTGTGCTGTGCAGCTCCGCAGAGTTCCAGCCAGGTGCGGGAGACTCAGAAACCGGCCTGCGGCCTGGCTCTAGAGGCAGACTGCTATGCACTGGGGCCGGGCGGGGCCTGCTCTGCCCCAGCCGTGTCCCCCTCTCTGGACTCAAGGTCAAGCAGGCGGCTGAGCTGTCTTCCTGCGTATTTAAGTTGTGCAGTCTCTCCTCCCGGTCTTCAGCGCTGGAGGGCTCCTTCAGAGACAAAAGCCGTGCTGTGGGGCGGGGGTGTCCGGAGAATCCCGTGAGCAAAACGGCTTAGCTGAGCAGTGAGCCCCACACCTGTCAATCAAACTCGTCAGGTAGAAAGTGCCATCATAATCTCCTTTATTAACTTAGTGTCTGTAGAAAAGGTGTGTGTCCTTCCCAGTGGCTTCCATTCTAATATTTTAAGTGACAAACAAAAGTGGACAGGACGTTTGGCAAAGGCCATCAAGTGAGAAAGTGTGGAGCCATACGGCTGACAGAGGTGAACCCCACACCTGTCAATCAAACTCGTCAGGTAGAAAGTGCCATCATAATCTCCTTTATTAACTTAGTGTCTGTAGAAAAGGTGTGTGTCCTTCCCAGTGGCTTCCATTCTAATATTTTAAGTGACAAACAAAAGTGGACAGGACGTTTGGCAAAGGCCATCAAGTGAGAAAGTGTGGAGCCATACGGCTGGAGGCCATGCCACCTGTCCCCTGGCAAAGGGGCAGCGGTTATTGAAATCCTGAGACAGCAATCAATACTATGTTTTTTTCAATCACAGTTGACATACAATATTATATTAATTTCAGATGTATGACACAGCAGATACCTATGTCACTTTCAAAGTGACATAGGTATCTGATAAGTATCTGAGCACCGTGATAAGTCTACGCCCGACTGGCATCACACATACTTATTACGACACTTTGTTTTTAAATTTAAACTAAGTTAAATGGCACTGATTTTTTTTTTTCTGAAACTGACTTTTTAAATGCAGAGCTATATTCTCAGATTCATTCCTTTTTCTATAGAAGTACACAAGCTTGCTCAATGCCGGCCTGTGGGTGGCGCCAGAGAGGGGCCTTGGCTGAGCTGAGAGTGGACAAGCTTCACATCTCGCGGGCTTCCTCTTGCACTGCCTGGCTGCTGCGGGAGGTATGCTTTGCAGCTAGACCATGAAAACCTTTGTGGATGAAAAAGGGGTCACATACTAAAGCTGACGAGCTCAGGGGAGGCCTGCATTGAGGCTACGAACTCAGAGACGGAAAGTAACCACACAGGGTGGTCTGAGCATAAAAAGTTTAGGCCTGCAGTAGCTTCGTTGATGCAGGTCAATCTTTACCTTAAGTGAGCCTGTCTATTGTCTTTTTGCATCTAAGATAACTCATCTTTCAAATGTCAGAGTAATTGCCTTTTCCAAACCCCCTCAGGGCACAACCAGAGAGCCTGAAACCACAGAGCCCCTCACTGCTATCCTGTCCCTCCCCAGTACCAACTCTGAGTTGTAAATGTTAATTACTATCCTCCTGTACCCACCCCTGTAGAAGTATGTCTTTTTACCTAATCTCAGAGATTTCCTCGCTTTGCTTTCTCTCACCCCTTAACGTACCACCAGTGGATTTCATGTAACCTTCCTGACGTCTCCTCTTTTTATTCTAATGTATAAAATAAGGGGCAAAACTGCCATTCTCCAGAGCATTGTCTCAAGCCATTTGTTTTTTGGTTCAAAAAACCTCAGAATTCTCCATAGGTTTGGATGTTTCTTACATGGACGCTATGATGATGGCCACTGGGGGGCATCTGGTAGAAAACTATTTGGCTTTTCTCTTCGTTTTTGGTGAAAAAAATTATAGTATTATCTTTGAATGTTTTTTTCCTATTTTTATTCAGGCTTAAAATTGTTTTCCGTCTAGTGGGGAAACTCCATAGAATTCCGGGAACTCGACCAGTTCCATAATCCAAGAACAAAGGGGCAACTTGGACGTCGGCCCAAAATCGAACTTTGCTAACTTCGGGTCCTAGAGCAAGGCTGGCCTCTGTCCATCCTCATCTCCCTGAACCAGGAGGGTCCAGCCTGCCCTTTGTTCCAGCAGGCACGTGGTCCTTGGACTTTCCTAACGGGAAGTACTCACCGGAAGCCAGGAGGCCTCGGCCCTAAGGAGCGCTCCTGCAGCTAGGGCGCCCTCTGTGGGGCTCTGGGGAGCCTACTCTGCCTTTCTATACTGAGGTCAGAAATCTGTCCCTTCCCTTGTGAGCCACTTCTGAGTGATACAAAGGATCACATAACCACGGGCCACTGTGCTTTGCTGAGACAGCGAGAGGAGGCTCGCGAAGGCCAATTCTCCAGTTCGGCGCTTCATCCAGTGACGGTTGGGAGACTGCCCTGGGACGCGCATCTACCCTTCTGTCGTCCTACTAAGCGCCCACTGCGTGCGCTAATACTCAGCCCCGCCGACCGCAGCCTCCCGCGCCAGGGCCGAGCTCGCCCCGCGCCCGCCCGGCGGGCGGCCCTGCTATCGCTGGACACGCCTGTCCGGCGCAGGTTTCGTTGACTTTGGGGTGTTTATAAACTCCTGCGGTCCCCCGGCTGGCTCTGTGCCAGGGCCACGTGGCCAGAGGGCGCGCTGTGGGCGGCAGTCGGAAAGAGCCCTCGGCCCTGGGTGTCAAGACCCCGCTGCGCGCCCCGGGTGGGGTTTTCCTCCCGCGGGTCAGCCGCCTCCTCCGAGCTCATCCTCTCGCGGCCGCTCCGTAGGTCCGAACCGCGCATCGGGAACCCATTCTGCTCCCCCTGCACCTGTCTCAGCCGCCGCCACGTCCAGAACTCCGCGGGCGCCCACAGCAACGGGATACGCTGTTGCTATGCGGAACGGACCTATCCCGGGCGCACACACACCCAGCCCACCAATTTTGTCCCTCACCAGCCCTTGTAACAAGGCTCTTCGCCCCGCCCTCCGGAGGCCCGCCTCCAGAAGCAGCCTGCGCGACTGTGGCGCCGACGTCGATGACGTCACGGCCCTCGAGGCCAATCCCAGGGCCGCGCGCGGGACACGGCCCTTACGCGCTTCCGCTGGACAGGAGGAAGGGGCGTGCGTCGCGCCTGCGCAGTGGCTCTGACCGCCGGCTCGCCGCGCGTGGAGACTACTCACCGCGCGGTCAGCTCGGCAGCGGGGCCAGGCGGTGAGGCGGCACGTGGCGCTCGCGAGCCATGTCGTGGCTCTTCGGCATCAAAGGCTCCAAAGGCGAAGGCACGGGACCGCCGCTTTCCCTGCCGCCCGTGCAGCCTGGGGCCGAGGGCGGCGGGGATCGCGGCGCGGGAGACCGGCCGGGGCCCAAGGACAAATGGAGCAACTTCGACCCGACGGGCCTGGAGCGCGCAGCCAAGGCGGCGCGCGAGCTGGAGCACTCGCGTGAGTGCAGCGGCGTGGTCGAGGGAGGGACGGGCCCGGGCGGGGACTCCACGGAGAGCCAGTCCACCGAGCGCCCGGGCATGCCGGCACTTGGGGGCATTTAGCCTCTTAGTCTCTGAGCAACCGAGTGGCAAGTGGCTGTCGACAGTCCCACTTGTCAGGTGAGGAAACTGGCCTCCTGGAGTGAGTCTGCCTAAGCCACCTTGCCTGCGGGGAGGTTCGGGAACCTATCACCCTTGACACCTTCCCAGCTGCCACACGTACTTCGGGTGAGGAGACCGGTGCAGAGGGGACTTTCAGACGTTACAGGTAGCAAGTTCCGGGGCTGGACCCTGGTCTTCAGTTACTGCCGAGTGCGGGGCTGTGTCCCCCTCTTGATGCCTCCACGTGGAATGGCCAAGGCCTGGCCAGATCCAGATCCGCGGTCCCTTTGTGGTGCTTGCTAGCAATTTTCTACTTAGGAAGGAAAGCATACTTGAGGGTCATCAGTTTTAGGAGAATATCGCAGACTTGCATTTATTGTTGGAAAACACTAGCTTTCAGGTAGGTGAGAGCTGTAAAGCAGCAGGTCAGACAATCGGGCCCAGCCCGGGGGCCTTCCTGACCAACCCAGGGCCCTCCAGGCGTCAGCGGCGACCGGATCTTCAGTAAGCCCACATCTTTCCTCCCAACCTCCGTGTCTCTTGTGGCTCTAACAACTTGTCTCACGATGTAGTCTAAGTGTTTAAGAGCCTGGAATATAGAAGGTGCTGAATAAACATTGACTGAAAGAATACAGTGGCTCTCAAACTTTTGTTTAAGCAGAGGTGCCCTTTTTTCAAAGGAGACCCTATGGAGAAGTCTTGTAAGCAGGTACAAGCGGAGTTTCCTGTTTAAGGAGGGAGAGGTCTGACACTTTGTGGCTCAATCCCTGCCCTACCTCCTGGGACTCTGGAACTTCCTGGGCCAAGGCCTCTGGGACATTCAGAACATCTAGATGTTGGGAACTGGGCCGAGGACAGCTTCCTAGGCCTAACTGGAATGCTCTCACCCCAGACTGGGTGTATTATGTTTTCTGGATAATTTTAATCATCGGGTTGGGTTGAGAAACAATGGCTGGGCTTCAGAGCACGTCAGATGATGAGACTTTTGACCTGATTTCTTGTTAAAGGCTTAGTTGGGGACACTTTTCTGTCTCAACTCCTGTGGGGTTTCACTCACTGTGTCTGCAGTTTCAAAGTTTTTCCGTTTTGAGAAGCCAAATCCCAACCCAGCGTGGTCACACAGGCCTGTGTGGGTGGCCTTGGGTGTTCCTGAGGGGAGCAGCTGCGGGCCACCCTTCCCTTTTGCCTGCTTCTGTGTCTGAATCGCTCCCAAGTCTCCTGCCCCAGAACACTCTCACCAGGGTCCCAGGGCCTGGGCCTCTGCTCTCCCATGGCCAAGTCCTCTCTTCCCCACCAAGGAGCACCTGTGAGTCCTCAGGTGCCACCACCTGGAGTTATGGTCCCCCATCAGTCTCCACACCTAGTGACTGTCCCAGATGTGGACTCCACTTCATTTTTGTTCCTGTTGTCCTTCCTGGCCTCACCACTGGCTAGCAGGAGAGGTTTCACCCTGGTTGGCAGTCCCTCCCTGTCCCCAAGCCCCTCTCCCAAGGATGCCTCTTGCCTCTCTGTCTGAAAGCCCCCCGCAAGCCCATCCCCTGCAGACACACCAGTTCTCAGGCAGCGGTGCATACCGTGCTCGGCCTCGCAGCTGTCCTTCGTCCTCACTGCTCACTCTGATGGAGCCATCCCAGCTGCTCCTTGCAGAGGGACCACCTGCTCTATCCCTCCACCCAACAGGTGCTCCCTTGTTCCTCAGGTCCCTGGGCCCACCTGGGAGGCCATCGCAGCACAGTTGGTCTTGAGCTGCCCAGGTGCCCCAGCCCACCAGCCTGGGCACTGCCTGAAAGTGGGGGCCTGAGCACCTGGCCTGTGCTGCCTGCTCTTGGTGCTGTGGCGTGCGGCCTCCAAGTGCAGAGTGATTTTTGGGGCGATGAGTTGTTACTGTTGGTATTGATATCGTAGCCTGTGGTCAGCAGGGCAGCTAGGCAGGCCCTGTTTTTGCAAAACTCCCAAATATAGGCAGGAACTCTGCCTTATGATCGAAATACACGTGGAAGGTACACATGGAAGGTGCTTAGAGCACGTGGTCTGTGAGGAGCCATCACGCTGCACACACAGGCCTGTTTGGCTTAATTCTCATTGCATCTCATTCCTCTTGCCCACGTGTGCTTGGCGGCAGATCAGTAACGCGTCTGGGGCCAAGAGAAACATGGGCCATGAGAAGGGACACGGGGCATGGCCCTGCTTTTGGTTTCAGTGGAAAGGACTGCCACGTTGACCTCAACGGGCAGGAGACAGCCTTTCTGATGGAGCCCTCCGGAGTGAGACAGTCCTCTAGGGGATGAGCCCTCACAGGGAGAGCTTTCTGTAGGGGACAGAGCAGACACAGGTGACCAGAAGAGAGCAGTGGCCTCGGAGGGCGAGGTCACCGGGCAAGGTCTGACCAGGAGCGAGGGTGGGCACCCGCGCTATGAAATCGGCGGAGCTGTGGTCCTTGGCAGCCCCTGGGCACGCGCGTGTGAACGCGGGCGGGCACGGTGTCCTAACGCGCGTGCTCCCCTGCAGGACACGCCAAGGAGGCGCTGAGCCTGGCGCAGATGCAGGAGCAGACGCTGCAGCTGGAGCAGCAGTCCAAGCTCAAAGTGAGTGCGGCGCTGCGAGCTGGCCTGGGGCCGCGGAGCCGCGGGGCTGCGGGGTCGGCAGGGCATCTTCCGCGGACTTGCCTCTGCCTGGGGGCGGGGACGGAACGGTCAGGGTCAGGGCCGGCCGCTCCGGGATGTCCTGAGCGGGAGGCCTGGCTGGCCTGGATCTCAGCAGCTGGGGTCCGCAGGAGTACGAGGCCGCCGTGGAGCAGCTGAAGAGCGAGCAGATCCGCGTGCAGGCTGAGGAGCGGCGGAAGACCCTGAGCGAGGAGACGCGGCAGCACCAGGCCGTAAGGGCCGCAGGCACTCGGGCACGGGGCGGGGGTGCGCCATGGTCCCGAGATGCAGTCTGGGTCTGTTCTCGGCCCCTTGAGGCCCAGGGGTGGCCTCGCACGCGCCTCAGGCCCACAGAACCCCTCAGTGCTGAGCGTGGCGGGAGTGC